ATGCCCGACATGATATTTAGGGATTTGTTTAACTGGCTCGTGTGAATCTGTTACTCATAAAAGTTGCATCCTGCCAGCACAACAGGAATTTAAAGAGTTGCGTGCGGTGCATTTGTTTTCCTATAGCCCCATAAACAGAGCAGGTGGAAGAGGAGTCAGGGATGACCCAGTTTCAAAAGGGGGTAAATATCAGTTACAGTGCATTACTCTCTGAAATCAACTAGCCATTTCTAGGCTGAGGCTCACTGTCAGTCGCCTTTGTCCCCGCGTGGTTTCTGATAACAACAGGAAATACCAAAGAAGCAGCCTTTTGATTTATAACACGACTAAGTGTGCGGAGAGAATAGCTTATCTTGTTTTTCTTTCCCTTTCATGTATGTGTTTTAACACTCGCACAATGCAGGCCTTGTGCAGAGAAGGGGTTGTCGAGCGAGGTGAAATGTTACACCAGTTTAGCACATTGTTATGCAGAGAAGCAGTGGGGTTAGATACCTGACAGCTCCTCCTGCCTCTTCATCAAAAGGAATGGCTTCTTCTCCTTGTGTTTTCTTGTTGTAGAACTCTAATTTTAGCGAATTTAAAGCTGATGCCACTATGTGACCTACATAAACAAACAAGACCATCAGCGAGAAGATTGGTTATTTCTGTGTAGTCAGATTCCCCTTCACATCAAGAGACAAGGTGGCAAAAACACTACCGCTCTTGTCCACAGGGGAGAATCAACACAAAATGAACCTACATAAACAAACTTTGTAATTAAGATCGTTGTTTCTGAAGCACCTTAAACATATCTTTGACATTTCTATACCGCAGTTTGTTGTTATTTACCGGCTGACATATACGGCAAAATCTGTGACAAACTATATTTGGGGATAATGTCAGCTGATGCAACAGTCAGGCAATAGTACTTCATTGGTGTGATAAATTAGTTCAGGCTTATTCTTCACAGGTTTTACAGTTGATGTCATTTTCACATTTATCTCTCTTATAAAATGTCTTTAACTAACAACCTTCGCTGGCTTTATGAGAGCGGAGAAAACCAGGAACCTTGGAATCCTCTTCAGGATGTTCCAGCAGATGTGGTTACATTAAAGCTGTTTTTTTTCATTATTATTGCTTGAAAAGTTTGACATTATGGAGAAAGGAGGAGTTCACCTGACAGAGACGGTGTACTGCTGTTTCTCTGTTGCCATGGCAACTCTAAGAGGCGTGAGACAAAGGTTCATTGTTGGTGAAGCAGAGGAACGAAACAGCCAGCATTTCATTAGGAAGTTGCAGTGGTTCTGACTCAGAGTAGCTGTTATATCACATATTGTCATCAGCCATTTATTGTCTCCCTTACTGCTCATCAACACCGCAGGACTGAAATGCCAAATGCTGGAATAAAACGACAAGAACAACAGAGCTGCAGGCAATATGAGGCCACAGAAAGTGTAGTGGTTCTGCCTCCAGGAGGACTGGTTTTTCTACCCTGAACCTGCCCACTCCTGCAGGATTCCCAGCTGTTCCTGCCCACTTCGGTGTCTCGCCATCCCGCTCTGAGCTGGTTCCCCTGGTCAATCCTGTCTGCAATTGTGTTTTCTGTCAGAGAAATGGAGCATTCTAGTTTATTTAAAGAACCTCAGACACACGTTTTTTTAAAAGTATAAATGAAAAGAAAAGAAATGGGAGTGGGAACCATGTTATGTTGTTCATTGCACCAGATATGAAGCAGATGTGTCATACTTGAGAGCGTCAGTGATATTGTTTACAGATCACATGGGATTAAAGATAGCAGTCTCATTTAAATATCACTGACACGTGTACACAAAAGACGTGAAACCCACTAACGACACTTTACAGGAAGACAGTGCTCTTACATGCATAAGATCGATAATAACAGCCTGTCATTTCATCAGTGTCTCACTGATACTGGATTCTTCAGGCTGACGGAAACCTGTTTTTTTACACAAACACATAAGGATGCCCTATATCTGATTATTTGGTTAATGTGACCAATACTTATCCGCACTCTCTCTGGTGAACAATCTATGTAACTGAGACACTTTTTCTGAATGACCTCAAACATATCTTTCTGTACTGACTTGTCAGTTACTTATCAGCCAACATACTTACGATATGAGTGTATTTATGAAGCCAAAATGTCCAGTTCTTAAAGTTACCACTGCATGTACAGTAAATGTTTAGTAGTCTCCCTCTGTGCTCCCTCTGGGCAAAGAACAGTCAGCCAGTAATGCAGACTGATTGAAAGCCCTTCAGTTTTTGGTTGGGGACACTCGAGGGAGCTAACTTTGGCTTTGGTTGGCTCAGTGACAGCAGCGTTTGCTGAAGGAGAAGACTCGCTGAGTGTGACGCAATACAAACTTTAAATTCCAAGCACTTCACTTCTCATGGCATTGTAACTGGTGGAGCATGATGCATGTCCAGTCGAAAGTGGAAATGGAAAGTAGATTAACTGAAGTACTGTACTTAAGTACAATTTTGTGGTCCTTCAACTTTACTTGAGTATTTCCATTTTATGCTATAAATCTTGTCCTCCAGATGTAAGAAAACAGAAATGTCACATCATCGTGATTTTAATGTGAAAATGAAAATTCTAATCCCACTAACTGTAAATCTCAGTCACTATCCACAATAATTGCAGTATGATTCTTACCATATTGTGTAGCCCTCTATTGTACTTTTTTACTGCACTTACATTTATCTGACAGCTGTAATTACTACACCCACTGTAGGTTCTCCTGTACGCTTGAAAGGGTTGTCTTGTTTTCTGGATGTATTTTTGTTGAACAATAGTGGCCGGTTCACACTTTGCACCTTTTGACTAGCTTACTTCAAAATAAAAGTTAACTTCGTGTTTCGTCAGTTAAATGCTTTTAATGTGAAGCTGAAGCAGTAGGAAATGTTCAGTTTTCGTTAGCAGTAACTTAATACTGGATTTTGGCCAGGAATTGCCCCAGTACCTTGCAGCAGCAGAGTGTGCACGAGTGACAGCTCTCCAAAAATGAAACCATTACATCTTGATCACCCGTGGTGGCTGGCTGTTAGTGTAGGAAACACCTGCTTTGATATGCAGTAGCATTTTCTCTGAGCCGAGCAAGTAATGTCAGTAATCGTGGATGGTAACGTTTATTTAATTGTGGTAAGCCAGAACTGTGATCACCATTAATATTCGATCAATTGCGCAATTGAGTTGTAATACTACTTTTCTATAAGTAAAGGATTGGAATACTTCTTCCAACCTTGTGCATGTCAGAACACCTTTTGAGCAAAAGCAGCAATTTGATCACATTTACTGTCTAGCTACATACAGCTACATTGTGGACACCGTATGTTTAGATATCAAAGCAGGGTGTATTTTGGCTCATTTTGTCAGACATTTCATTCAGACTCCATTTTATGCTGATATTAAATTAAGTATCTTAGATGGAGGAAGATGGAGTCATGGAGATAATTTAAAGATGTCATTTTCTACCTTGTATGGGCAGTTTTAGACTTCTTCTAAAAGTGGAGCTTTTGATGCATAGATAACATAAAAATTAACATTCACTATAATACTACATTATACTGGTACTGTATACTAATTTAAATGTCTGTGTAAAACTATGACAAGAAGTACTTTACACACTGTTTTAAAACATGAAAAAGGAAATTCAGACTAACATTAAAATTCTGTTACCATTGTAGAATCAATTAAAAATAAATATGTTATGTAATGAAAATCGGTTTGCATGTGTTGTCTGGAGGTAACTGTACAGTCTACATCTGTGCTACCTAAAGGTTACACACGTCACGACTAGAGGTGTCACAATATCATTTTTGTATTGAAAAATGATTGAAATTAGGTTTCAGTTTCAAAATCAAAAGCAGGATCGACAATTCTCCCAGTACCTCAGTTTTTGCAGGTGAGCAGTTGTTGCTCAGTAGTTTACCATTTAGTGACCAAATTTCAGTTACTGTTTTTTAAATGAATTATTTAAAATTGACCTTAAATTCCAACAAAGAAATGGCGGTTGTATCAAACTTGAAACCATGTAGCTTATCTTTTTAAATCATTTGAAAATTTAAATGACAGTTGATCTTTACAAATCTTTAATCAATAGTCAACAATGTCATAGTCGTCAGTGATAAAATAAAGATCTAAAATCAAAAGTCACATTGAATCAGTGATTTGGAGAATCATGACACCCCCAGTCAGAAGTTTGGTCTGTGCTCAGAGCCAGAACCTGAACATAGTCTGCTGCCACCAGTTAACTCTGTCCCCCTTTTTGGACCGGAAGAGTCAGTGTGGCAGTGTTCACAGCCTCTGCGCACCAAAACCAGTTAATCTTTTGCTAGAACCTTTGCTGAAAAATAAATACACACTCTAACCATTGTATTGCATGGACTTGCACCTATTTCAGTGACAGTAGGCAGGTTCACCATGCCACTAAAGTGCTGATGTTGGTTCACATCTCTGTTTTAATTCTCTCCAAACCTTCCTGCCAAAAGTCTATAACTGAAATGCTTGGGTTACTTATTTTATTTTTTTATAATAAAAAATAAATAAATAAAAAAAATGTGCCACTTAATGTGATCATCTTAACAATTAAAACAGCTACATGGAACTTTTATTTTGTGTGGATTCTGGTGGCTCCTGTGGTAAAAAGTGGTAGTGTTTCTACTGCCACGTTTCATTGATTTCAAGGGGAATTCCTCCTGGTGGCAGGCATTAAGAATAACTATATAGAAACAGACAATTTTTTTCTGTAGGTCATATAAAGGCATCAGTATTAAACTGAGACTGTTTCATAACCAGTTAAAACTCCTTGTAGTACGTTTAATTATTTCATTTTGATAATGATAGGTTTGAACATCAGTGTTGTACAACACGGCACCCGAACACAATCAATACATGCAAAAATGTTAGCTAAGCACTTATTTGTCATGGTCTAGTTCCCTGTCACGGTGCTTAATCCTAACCCTATCCTCACCCCCTCCCTGTCTCCCCCCCACCTCAGGCACAGGGACTTTTGGCCGCGTCTTCCTCGTCAAGGACAAGAAGAGCAGGGCCTTCCACGCCCTGAAGCAGATGAAGATCCCTGATGTGATCCGACTGAAGCAGGAGCAGCACGTCCACAACGAGAAGGAGGTGCTGACAGAGGTCAACCACCCCTTCCTCATCCGACTGTGAGTCTGCTCCCCAGGGTGGGGGCTTGGGGGAGGGGGTCGCGGTCCACTGGGTGAATGTTTTGTAATGAAAAAGGTCAAAGTTCAGTGTTTCAGTGCATTCTGACACACTGATTCCAATTAGAAATACAGATCTATAGTACAGTGTAATTCTGGTGGTTCTATCAGGGGTACACTGTACTTGTGAGTTATTATCTGGAAATTGTTGTGCGGCAGCAATGAGTTGCAAATCCAAAATGTTCACAATAAAGAAAATAAACTGGTTAATGGAAAGGATCATCCTTGGTGGGTTGCATATACATGTATGTGCAATATCAAATCTAAAGTACAGGTGTATACAATTCACTCAGAGTGTTCATGATTATGTCCATGATATTGCACGTACAGTAATGTCCGATGATTGTACATTATGTCCCATAAAAAAGTCGTAATCTCTACAAGAGAGTAATCCAGAGAGAAAGAGAGAGATTCAATTGGCATGAGGTAGATGGGTTTTCGGGTTTGATGGCCTCAGGAGGAAAGTATTTCCTGTGGCATTCTGTTGTGCATCATGGTGGTAACAGTCTGCTGCTGATGGTCGGAGTCATTGTCCATGATGCTCCACAGTTTGTGCAGCATCCACGGAAGGATTTGAGCGACTTTGACAAGGGCCAAATTGTGATGGCTAGATGCCTGGATCCAAAACTGCAGCTCTTGTGGGGTGTTCCTGCTCTGCAGTGGTCAGTACCTATCTTGCTAGCATAACCTTAGCTTTCTGGCTTGTAGCTGAGCCAAAGGGTTCTATGAGTGGAGGAAACCAGAAATGTCCCCTGTTGCCATGCTGTATCTCAGGTTTGTCCTATTTACTGGAGTAGTGAACAACGTTTCCACTCCATAACAACCTCAAAGGGATGGTAACAGTTAGGGACGTCACAATACCAGAAATATAGTAGGCGATAAGTAAGTTCCACAATTCTCAATACCCAATTTGATGCCATGGTAAAAACCAAAACCAAAACAATAAACTCCATTTACTTTAACATACACTTCTTTGTTAAAAACATTTGGACATTGCAAACGACAACAGTGGCCCCTTTTCCTGTGATTGCTTTCTTACTTAATTTACCACTTAACTCACTAACTAATCTGTGGATACTTAACTGGGAGTGAAAGATGCTTTGTTGAAATTACGGCGCAAAATACAATGTAAAAGAGAGGTCGAAAAATATTTTCAGTTCATTATGTAACTATGGCAGGACAAATTAGACCGTGGTGCTCCGCCTCAGTCTATAATTAATGGGAAAGACTGCTTTTAGGCGTATATGCAGCCCAGTCAGGTCTGGAATAATTGGGTCCACGGTACCTATTTCTAAATATATTTTTGAGTTTTGCCTTTGTTGGATAGGATAGCTGAAGAAGGAAAGGGGGGAGAGAGAGGGAGGGAATGACATGCAGCAAAGGGATACAGGTTGGACTCGAACCCACAGCCGCTGCAGCAAGGAATCTGCCTTAGTAGATGGGGGGCGCCCCAGGATCTGCAGTACCTAATGATAGTGTAGAAAACAAGAACCTTGTGGTTTCAGAACTTTGGCATTGACTTGGTACCAAAGTATCGGTTCTTGTGACACCACTAGTAACGACTGTTCGAAGTATTAGTCAAACCCATAGGTGTTACCAGGGAAACAGACTCGTGGCTTTTTTTTTTGCCAAATGACCATGGTATAAGTGCTGGGTGCCGGGCGGTTCTGGCCTCCACGTTGTCCATTAATTTCTGATAATGGAACCTCGTCAATTGTGTACATTACATATTGTAGACTTGAATCTCATTAACTCAATTTAACCTTCAACATCTCATCCATTTAGCCCATCTTGATTCTGAATAGTCAATACATTTCTGCATATTAATAAGAGGCCATAATGTAGCATCTACCCTCTTGTCATATATTTCACAGGAATAGTTTGTAGGAACATTTTTGGAGTCAGGTTTTGGTTAGCGTAGCTTAGCATTTACCCATCCGACCAGTACTTTTGTATTGCCTCATATAGAACTAACTATGGTCGGTAGGTTTTGATTTTGGTCTCTGTCCAGGCACAGTGGTACCAAACCTGGCAACATTAATGTGACAATAAGCTATGCAGAGTTAGGCCACCCACCTCCGGACTCCATATCAACACACAGACTCTCATCTTACTCTTGAAAAGAAGGGAGTAAGCATAGTTCTTAAAATAAACTATTTCTTTAAAGCAAATGCGTTTTTAAATCTAATTAAATATTCACGTTTCCCACTGTCTCAGTAGATATTATACATAATAAAATAAATCATAGACATATTCTGATAGGAATTTCTATAATACAGTAAATTTCCCCACTGATACAAATCCAATATAATTTGAAGGCTTAAGGAGCAGACTCTGAGTGAAATCAGCATGATTCTCTCCACAGATCACGAAACATTGGACTTTATCTGGTGTAATAAAACACTGCATCTGTATCTTCCGTGCATATTCTTTACTTAAGTGGGAAGCAGTTTTATCCCTGAGCAAATTTACTCCTATTTCCTAGTATGAATAACAATTTCTAAGTCTCTCTCCCATTAATGCTTTGCTGAAGTTTCACTGTCAAAATCTAATATAGTTTACACATACATTTACATACATTATACATTTCTTCCTTCTGCTTATAAAACACAGTACTTATTAAATAAAGACTTATGTTGCCTGATCCAACTATAGAGTATTTATGAAGCAAAACATAATGGGGTCATTAAAGCGTAAAACAAGAAGAGTTTTAAAGTAATTCACCTCAGCCTTTTATTAAACAACACAGTATGCTGCTATGATCTTAGGTTACACAAGGCTGAGAAAGTCAGACACAGTATAATGAGAGGCTTTTTGGGTTAGGCTCCAACTCTGAGATATTCTATTAAATTAAACAATTATTAAATTAAACAAATAAAAAGGCTCACCATGTGCAGCTTTTGTTGTGTTGGAGCTCTGTAAAACACGAATTACTGCAGTTAGGAGTTTTGTTTCTCTCTTGTGTTTTACTCTGATCTAGAAAACAGACGACTGCAGCTTTTGGATACTATCATAGCTGTGATCAAAGCTACAGGAAATGTAAAATCCTGAATTTGTAGATAGCTGTTAGTTGGTGGTCTTGCCATCAGTTATTATACTTCCCAGCTGTTTCTTTACTGTAAGTGAGGCCTGAGAAATAAAACGATAGCAAAGTGTCTTGGCGTTAGACAATTGATACAACAGTACCCTGTGACAGATAATTAACATTAAATTTGTGCTTTGAGGGGCGCCCAGTTGCTCACCTTATAGAGTGTGCGGCCCATTTACTAAGGCTGAGTTCTTATTGAGTAGCACAGGTTTAATTCCAACCTGTGGCCCTTGCATGGCATCCCCTCCTACTTTTGTGACTCTTCTACCTTTTTTATTAATATCAACTGATATGAATCTTTTTATTGTCCTACATTTTTCGGTTATATTGCCCAGCCCCCAATGTAAGTTTATCATCATTATTTCTCAGGTTCGCTTCAGAATAACCTTTCAGTTATAAAAAAAAAAAAAAAAAAGAATGCTTTCCTCAGGGAATAGCCTGTGATATGTGATTGACAGACAAGGACAGTTACAGTAGAAACTTTCCATGAATCCCATGATTCCTATATTTCAGTGATTATACACTTATGAAAACATACCTATGAATATTATATTCCATTTCTGCCAATACATCCTCCTCAATGTCAAACACTAGACCTTTAATCCATCTCAACTATTCTACCTGAAGTATACACACACACACACACACACACACACACACGCACCTCACCCAGGGGTAGTACAGAAATATGAAATATGTTTTTAGATAACATATTTTCCCTGGAAGATATACCTATGGCTTGAGTTGGTGGCTTGTAGACAGTTGATTGTTAATACTCCCAGCCTCTGTATTTGACAACCTGGGAATGAGACTTAACATCTTTCTTGGCTCTGAAGCCAGCCCAGCCACAGATCTGTCTCATGTACTACTGTCAGGTTATAGTGAAAGTCCAACTACTGCAGCTTTAAGAATCTGTGACCAAGATATGTTGTGAGTGAGACATTTTACGGAGTACAAATAAACTTTGTGGTTAAACTATGTCATGGAATCCAAATGACCTCAGAATTATCTTTGACAATTCTGTACAATGCAATTGATCGACAATAAGAAAATATTAGCCAGCATATTTATGGGTTGTGTATTTATATATTGTGAATACGGATCCAGGTGAGCAAAGCATCATGAAAAAGAAGGACTAAATTATGGATTGGACAGTTATATGAGAATTGTTGTAACACAGTACATGACATGTACACATGGTTGTTTGTGCCGTACAGTATATTAACGTGATTGTAGATTAACTATAGCTTGGGAAAACAGAAAAAGCAAAAGGATGTGTGGAGATAAAACAGAAGTGTAAGGAAGAGTCAGTAATCGTCTTTGTGGCCAGCAGCCAGCACTTATGGAAAACACTGGAGCCTCCTCCATCTTCATCAGTGACAGTGCTCTCTTGTTTTTATTCCTCTGAAGTGCCCTTCCAGCTGAAATAGTTGTTGCACACTGCTCCAAGCCACACTGGGGGATAAAGGAGTCTGAGACTGATACAGCCTCTTATTTTATCTGATTTCCTCAACTTGTCAGACAGCACTTTAACTCTTTTACCCTCCAACTGTGGACTGAAGAAGTTACTGTTCAGCATTAATTACAATTGTTCTACCTGTGTGACCTGTCATTTCTCAGGTTTTGGACCCACCACGATGAGCGCTTCCTCTACATGCTCATGGACTACGTGCCGGGCGGCGAGCTGTTCAGCTACCTACGCAGCCGTGGGCGCTTCAGCAACGCTACTGGCCTCTTCTATACCTCTGAGATCGTATGTGCCATCGAGTACCTCCACTCCAAAGAAATCGTCTACCGCGACCTGAAACCTGAGAACATCCTGCTGGACAGCGAAGGACACATTCGCCTCACCGACTTCGGCTTCGCCAAGAAGCTCTCTGACAGGTGATAGAACTAATGTCAGCATCCATTTTGACATCCACAACTGCAGAGGGATTTATAAGGTTGACAGTGAATGAGTATAAGCGAGGAAAGGGATAAAAAGGTGGTAAAAATCAGTGTTTTTGTTGTAGCGACATAACATTAAAATTAATACACATTAGCAGTTTGAATCAAACTTAAAGCTCCCTGCACCAGACTCCCTTTAAGAAATATACATATTTACAGTTCCTTAGGTGTCCGTAAAAGCACATAACTATAGAAACACAAGCTAAAGGGTGTCATATGTTGACAGTCTTCTTGTCAATTCAGCATCAGTATAATCCATAAAGAAAAATGAGTAGATGCCGCTGAATAGTTCACTTTTGCAGCATTTAATTATTCATACAAAGTACCCAGATTGTTTAGTAGCAATAGCACAGTGTAAACATGCACTGTTACAAGTAAAATTACAAAAGCGTTAGCATTAAACTATACTTAAAGTACAAAAAGTAAATGTGCAGAATGGCCAATTTAGGATAACACGTATTATATAATTGGATTATAATGATTGATGCATCACTGTCACTTGAATGTTGCAGCTTATAAAGGTGAAGCTCAATTTGATACTTTATACTGCTGGGAATTTAATCTATAATAATTCATCATAATGTATTAGTTTATTTCTATTTCTATTTGTATTATTAATGTAAATCTGCAAGGTAACTGGTCACTAAAGTTACAAATAAATGTCGTGGAGTAAAAAGTACAACATCTGGCTCCAAAATGTAGTGTAGTACCTCAGAATTTTGACACTAAGATTTTCATTTTTACTGCAAATGTATTGTTCCACATAACAAAGGCTATTTCACAGTTGTTTGTTAAACTGCGGTCTTTCTGTCAGTGTGACAGCATTCACATTAAACATGTCACAGGTTTGACCTCAGCAGATTGCCGCCGTGACATTTAGGTCAAAGTGACTCAATTGTTTATTCAAACACGAGACCAACATGGAAAATGACCAGCACAGCTAGGGTGGCCATTCGTCCGGCTTTAGGCCGGACAGTCCGGATTTTAAATGCCATGTCCTCCTTTTGAGAAAATAATAAAAAATGTCCGCCTTTTGACACATTATCTCGTTAGTTTAATACTTATTGGCTAAAAATGTGTGTCAAAATAAGTCATTTCATTGGTTAAATTTTTGTGTCATGGCTAATTTTAATATTCAAATGAGCCATGTGTTGATTCGCCACAAGATCTCTCAGCGACAGAGAACTAACGTGAGCTAAAGAGACTGAAATTCTGAAAATGCTCATACTCATATGTAGATAGGCAAAGCCTATACATCTGAAACAGAAGGTGCTGCATTTTTTTTACCCTTTATCTATCCAGATAAAAACATTAAGAACAGTTTCTGTATGATGGTTATTAGACCTATGTAATCTGAATTGGAAGGGCACGTTGTCATGAGCTGTATCGTGTATATTTATTATTAGCTATGTGGTATGTGTATGCACCTTTATGGAATCTGGTGGAAAAACATTAGAATTTAAAACCGGATCATACCAAACAAATATCTGCTTGCGTGTCCCTGTGTATGCAAAGTGTCCTCGTTTTTGATGTGAAGGAAATGGCCACCCTAAGCACAGCTGTGCAATGACGCATGTTTTAAAAGGCTGTACTTTTGCTGCTTGGTTACAGGTGATTGAATCAGACCAGAACTTTTTAAAATTGCATCTTTTTTGGATTTGGAGTTTTTTCTGTTCATTTCTTCCCACAGTGTGTGCGGCTGCTGCTGACTGACAGTCGGGGATACTCCGCTCTTGGCTCTTGGTGTTTGATGCTTGATTGATTGTCAGTAGGAAGTGAATGACAAAGCACCTGTCACTCCACACTGTACCTCTGAGCTCGTACTGTACGTCCTCCCACAGGCTGTGCTGCTTAGTAAGCTACACTTAGATTTAGCCTGTCTGTATGCAATGTGGATTTGTTGGAAATTTTTAATTCAACTTAGAATTGAAAGACTCTGTGTTGTTTGGAAGTCTCCCTGTTCCACAGGATCCATTCTCATTCTGAGCTAGCGGCTTGTCTCGGTTTCAGTTCTTCCCTTCTTTAAAGACTTCAACCCGCTCTTTCAATCACAGGAAATGAGTGGTTGAATAATTAAAAAAAAACATTGAACATTTTACATCTGAAGGGCGGAATTGTGGCTTGTTGATGAGGATTATGATTAGTAAATATATTTTTGTCTGATTTGGATAATTACTACTGGTTGCCTGTGGTTCCCTCTGGGTTAAGTCCCGTCTAATGAGCTTTATTTGAAGGGTCTGGAGATGTCAAACAGGATTAGAAAAAATGTAGTTCTGCTGCACAACATGTGTTATTTGAATGATTATATCGTTTTTACTTTCATGTCACCTTTTGCTTTTATCTACAATTCCATTCCAATTTATATCCATGACAACATGTAACTCCAGAATCACAAGCTAAAGTGACTGTCTTCTAGTCAATTTGGCATCAATATAAACTTCATTTTGTCACACCTCGCTCAGCCTCTGTTGTAGCTGCACTCTTTCAGTGGAAGACTACTTCCTGTCTGGGGCTGGAGGCTGCTCTCACTGGCGGTCGCTGGTAGCATGGCTCCCGGACACAACCAGATATTTAGCCTGCTACGTAAGTCTTGGCTGTACTCTCGGCAAGCCCTCTTGGGTGCAAGTGCCATGAAATATGGGTCAGTTTTACCTGTACAGGTCTCTCAAAGTGATTATTAAATGAACATGACATATAATTATGAAATGTTTTCACAACACACATGAACACTGCAAATTGTCATCACTAACTGTATCCAACTACCTCCTGTCTGATTCATACATAGTTCTACATACTGTATAGTTCAGGAAAACAACAAATGACCCCTAAAACAAACCAGATAATTACCTGTCCCTCAGTTCTCCCCATTGTTGAAAAGCCACACTGCCAGTTGACTCCGGTTTGACCTGTTCCTTTATCTGAGCTTTTTGTTCGTAGCCTTTTTTACGTCTGTGTTTCTTTTCCTGCCATTTGATAATCAATTAATTGTTTTAAGAGCAATTGTTCAAATTCTTTGGTTTCAGCCTCAAATGTGAATATTTTCTTCCTCTATGGCAGTAAACTGAATATCTTTGGGTTGTGGACAAAACAAGACATTTGAGGACGTCACATTGGGCTTGGGGAAACAGTGATCAACATTTTTCACCATTGTCTGATAATTTATTATAACTAATTGCTTAATCTAAAAAAAATCAACAGATTAATGGATGATTAATATAATAGTTGCAGCACCTGTGGTTTAGCATTTGATAAGATTTTAAGCTAACACATTCATCTATCTATACTCCAACTGGAATTCTTGGGTTGTGTTTCATTGTGTTGCAGGTGCCTCACGCAACAGAGCAGAGCAGGGCTGTTATCAGTCTGAATCCCTGCCCTCAATCTGTTTAAAATGAAGTGCTGCTCGGATTGACTTAATAGCGTTTGAAACCCCTCTCTGATGGCAGAACTGGAAGTCTGCGTCCTTTTTTATTTTTATTTTTTTAGAAACAGGTAATCTTACAATGTGCACCTTAACCCCATTTGTTCATCGTGTCAAGACTGCAAAGGCGCACAAGACAGAGTTGTGGAGAGGGGGAGGCAGAAAGCTGGAAGGAGACTGCGACGGCAGACTTTTCCCACCACGTTCGCGTGAGGACTAGTTTGTTTCACACTGTTTGCTGCATGCGTTAGCCATTTCCTGTTTATATTTAATTAGTTTGGCCCATTACCCATGACATGATTAAGTTGTTAAACAGTTGATGTAGACATTTAACTACTGTGGACAAACACACTGTCTGACATTAGAGGAATAAGAAAAAGCCGTCTTGCTCATGCGTCGTGTTCAATGTCCTTGAAAAGCTCGTATTTTCTTCTGGGAATTTGAGGGTATCCTCCCAACTCCAAAAACCCCCGGCAGTGCTACTGAAGGACAAACTTCCCCCAACCGATGTCATTTAGTCTGAATTAGATATACAGTGAGCGAGGCCTCCTGGCGACCTCGGTGGAATTGAAAAGATGCACTGTAGAGGAGAAGAGACGGCTTTATATCTGCACTGCAGCCTCACTTACTGCTGCGTTTCTCCCGAGCGTTACACCCAGTTGCTGCGTTGACCCCCGCTGACATGTAAACATAATGGAGTAAGATTACATTTTCCCCCAGACTGGGAGAGCAAAACAGATTGGGAGTAGATACCTCTCTGATGTGCAAGTGACTCACTTATATAAATGGAGGGCAGCAGAATTGCCTAGGATAGGAAGACAACTGCCTCATTGCCACTAGCTCTCTTGTACTTTTCCCTGTTCAGGACGTGATGGAGCGTCGTCACGGCGCCGGTCCTCCCCGTGCTGCCACAGTGTCCCCTGCTGGCAGACACGCTCATCAACACATTTTAAAAATGATGCCCAAAGAGTAACAACACGTGTGTCTTCTCTCCACTGTGGGCACGCCTCATCTATACCCGACCGCTATTCCCCCAACATCAGCAGCCTCCTCATCCTCCATCGGGACCAACATCATTTCCATACAAATTACCGTCACCATGGCAACTGGCCGAAAGAGGTCATTACCCAGGTGATATCGGTGACAGACGATGAAAGGCTGGCACCGGGCCAAGTGCTCTTCATCAGAGGACAAGTGGCTTTCACAGAGAACACTGTGCATGTTTGTTTCACATGCACAGCGTCAATCAGCTGCTCTGTCAGCCCGGAGGACAGAGAGCCAGAGGCAAATAATCTGTTTCAGACTTCCTGTTATTGTTCACGCTCGCCAGGAATCCTTCACTTATTGTCCGATACTTGTATCTGGACTCTCGTCCTCATTACGCTTTCATCCTGCGGTTGTCCCGGCCAATACCGACTGACACTGCCATTACTCCTGTATCCACACAGAGCTCCTATATCATCCTAGTACTATAAAAGATGACACAGCAGGGTCAGGTGACATGAACAGATCACTTTACTCACAGGTGTTGTCTTAATTGCGCAACTAGAGTCTCTCCTTTTACACACAGTGTGTAATGTACGGATGTATACAGACGAGCAGAGGCTGTCGCTTATCAGCTGTCAAACAGTATCAGTCACTAAACATGCTGACAGTGGGGAAGTTGCTTATATTTTTACATATTAAGGTGGGCAACATACTTTTAACAGTGGTGATGTCTATCCAAGTCATTTTAAAGATTCCCTCCAGATGTGTTAAAGCTATAATAAATAACATTTCCACATTCAAATGTCTATAAACGCTAGACCTATGTGATATATGTTGTTGAGTTTGGTACTTAGATTATCCCAAATGTTTTCAACAATGTTCAAACCCAGAGAAATCTATCATTTTATTCAGGTAATGGTGCGTTTCACTGGCTGCCTGTCAATGGTGCCATATCCCCTTTGGGGCCCTAGCCCTTAAAATCAGAGAAACTTTCCACTCTTAGCAGATGAATGTGAAAACATCCTTCTAGTGTCAAACTCTGCACATACATAATTCTACACAGTGAAGTTCTGTAGGAACAAGAAGAAACAGATTTTTTAGTGGAGGGGGACTTTAAAGATAATTGCATGTATTCCTGGCAGTGTTTTCCACACATGCTTGCTAAATAAATGTGAACACGACTTTTAACCTTTGCGCTATTTGTTTCCACACCTCCTGTCCCTCTCTGTCCAATCAGGACCTGGACTCTGTGTGGCACTCCTGAGTACCTGGCCCCCGAAGTCATCCAAAGCAAAGGTCACGGCCGAGCGGTGGACTGGTGGGCTCTGGGGATCCTCATCTTTGAAATGCTGGCTGGGTAAGTGCTGCAGTGTACACCACACTCCACCCATTTTAAACACCAGGGGGCACCCTCCTCCACCAGAGCAACTGAGGTAAAGCTGCACTGAACAAAGAGCATCCAGATTTCAGCCCAAATTAGGATACAGTTCATCTAGAATAATGTGGTTTTGTTGAGAGTAACAGGGTGTGATCTGCTACTCAGAAGTTACCGCTCTCTGAGAAATCAGAGAAATGTCGGCAGAAAGAACTTCTCATGTTCTAACCACACACAGGTGAAAATATGCCTCCGTGAAGCCCAGACAGTGAAAACTTTGAGCAACTTTCCACATGGCTGGAACACTCCTTCATGATCATCTCTCAAAACACAATAACACATTAACACCTGTACACTAGTGATGCAATCCAACACGACAGCCCTGCAAGTGAAAGTGAGCGAGAGAACGGAGCGGCGGAGGAGCCTGTGTACACGGAACAAAGGAATTATTCAATTAATCGTATTGCTGTTATTGTCTCAGTGTGGGGAAGCTATTCATTGTGTGCTTATTGGATACTGCAGAGCTGCGACAAATTAATGTGTGAATGGGAGTCATTGTTGTAGATGAAGAACAATGGTGCTGATCCCCTTTAGAAGAAGCGCTCTGGTTTATTCTAATGTTCTCCGTCATTTGCGATGAATAATAATGTGTGTGCCTTGTTGGCATTCTGAGAGAACAGGCCTGAAGGTTGAGATTGACTTAAACATTGATTGGGACTTTGTCTGGGGGACACGGCAGGTGATATTCTATAATCCAGCAGTTAATTAATTGAAGCAAATAGAATGGCCCTATCTTAATACTGGCTGCCATTTTATTGCAATAGATTGTACTTTTATTTGACTATTTTTGTGCCATTAAATAAGAATAAAAATTCCAGTATTCTCTTTCCCTCAGAGACCAAAGCCCATTTCACCCAAAATCCTATAATAACAAAATGTACACTACAGGGAAACTGCTCTTCCTGCTACATGTTTTTGTTATTGCCTTAAAGAAAATACCTTGCAGTTCTCAGTGGTACTACGTTCTACAGAGGACATCGTCACATTAAACACTGTTGACAATGTGATCTGTGGATTGTGCAAAATATAGCCCGACTGGTATGGGATTTTTCAGACCATAAAATACTCTTTAACATTTTAAATAATTTAATACATTGTCAACCAGTTCTAGCTGACAATCCGAGAATTGCTTCTTGTCTATGCTGTTTGACACGGTATTGTAAATCACAGAGCACTCTGTTGGATAAATTTTGTAGTGCGCCCGATAGACAAGCATTTCTTTCTGCATTTTACACTGGGGGAAAAGACAGTTGTATCGGCTGATAATATTGGCTGACAGTGGGTTTATCAGAGCTTTTTATTAGGTTATTATTAATGGACCCTAATTAGGAATGTAACGATATACCAGTTAAAGACAGTTAAATCGTGATGCAAATATGTAAAGATTAAAATCGGTTAGATAAAAATGTACTGTGATACTCCTTTTAAACAGAAGGCGCTATCTACTTTTGTCTTTGCTTGTTTGACGTTCTATGTCAGTGATTCCCAACCCTTTTCCTTAAGGGAGCCCTATTCTACTATTGACTAAACTGACGACCCTTGACTAAGTAACATATTTTATAGATATTTCAAATTATATTCAATAACAACAACAAGCGCACAGAAAGTGTACAATGAACCCAAATAGTGAACACAATAACTGCAGGAAGATTGTGTAAAACGAGCAATTTGGATGAGTTTTGAGCAGAATTTCCTGTGAATATAGCATCAGAGATGGGTTTTTTTATATTTTTAGGAACTTTTTATACAATTCTCTGTCTGTTATGTATTTTTTATTATTCTAACAACAACATACATACTTAATAGGCTTGCAGCTGGTTGAAGGCTCTGTGAATATAGCTTGTGTTCATGCCTTCAAAGTCTTAAATAACAATCTAAACTTCAAAACAATTTTATTTAGTTTTCTTCAGAGAAACAAGCAAAATGCTGAGATATATGCCTTCAGTTATGCCCGTTTTTGGTCAAACCTTACTGCTTTAACTAATGTTTCTCCAGTCTCGATAAAAGGTCACCTGTGTGTGAGCTCGGCTTACCCCCACCCCTACATCCATGTTCTTTATATCCTGGTAGGAAAAGCTACGCAGCTTTGAATTTGTGGAAGGAATGTGACCTTCTCTCAGCATTCATCAGGGCAGGCTTTGAAGTGCTGCAGTCCCTGGCAGAGACTGGATGCTGCGCTGCCCTTAGCGCATCAGCAGACGTGTCCAGGGAGGGGGACTACTGTAAGACCCCCAAAGACAAAGAGCTCTCTTCATCTTGCAGTATTATGTAGCTGTTCGTCAGAGGTCCTGATCCAAGAATGTAGCGGCTGCTTCTGAAAAGTAAGCGGCGGTAGATCATCCACCTCCTGGGTGAAGCACAAGTTGAAAAAAACATTGAGTGAAGGGTCAGGGCCCTAAAGGGAGGAAGCCAAGAGAGAGTGGAAGAAAAAGAATGGGTCTTCCCTTCATAATCCTGCCTTCAGGACCAGATTTCTGGTCTTAATGGAAACCAATCATCCTGTGTGTATATGGAGTTGTACACGTAGCTGTGTATATGAAGTCTGACTCCTAACACTAAAACTCTGCCTCCTGTATTTATCTTTACCCCACAGACGAAGACCTGCTCCAGTTTGTAGGAAACCTATGGCGACTTAGAGAGGTTCACAGTCCCAGTGGCCTGAGCTTGGTTCAGGGTCACTTTCATGCTAATTATTGAAATAAGTTGCATCAAAAAGTATTTTAATGTGAAGACGAATCCCACTTTGGAATTTTAATTAAACCGTGTCTATTCCCGAAGTCAATTTTCTGGATTGACTGCATAAAAATGAAATTGACCTCTTTCCTTTCTCTTACCTCTCCTTGGCTCCCCGGTCAGTCTTCGTCCACCTCAGCTCAGTGGAGCGTCAGCCGGGTGATTAGAGACAGAGATCCTAGAGGAGAAACACTCTGTCCTATCACACCAGCCTGTCATCCCACAAAGTCAAAGTGTCACGGAGCTGGAGTAGTTTTTGACTTAGGACACGCACTTTAATAACTCTAACATTGTGGTACCTTTTAAGATAAATCACACCTCAGTCTTACCAGAAGTGGGGCTAAAAACGTATTTTAAATTTTTTTCCTGAGTTGGTCTCCAAAGCAAAGCTCATGGGGACATTAAAATAAAAGATACTTCCATTAGGAGTATTAATATCCTCAGTATGTCCCATGACAGCCATTGCATTAAGCTTCTTTTTGTTACATAAATGTTTACATGTTGGTGTTCTGTGAATATATGCCACAACACTAGTCTTACTATTTGGACAGGTAACATTTGTCTTAAAAATGTCAACCCGGCACTAGTCTGAACTGAATGCTTTGACATTAAAACAGCTGCAGAAGCATTAAGTTAACAACCCATCATTGTGTTTGAAATTCATGTTTTCTTTTCAAAATCATTAAAATTATATACACTATATGCAGTAAAATAGAATGTAATAAGCCTGTGTATATGTACGTGTGCAGTGTTTCTAAAGGTATTGTGTATGTACATTCGTAAAAATCGGTGATGTGATTGACAGTTTGACTGAGTGGTGTGTTTAGAGTCTCCGTCAGTGGAGGTAGGAGGTACTGGGTGCTGTGGCACTGTGGTGTCGGGTGGCTGATTGCATGAATGATCCTCCTAAGCACTTTAAGGCACTTGGCTGGATGAGTCTGTGGCTGAACATGCTAGAAATCATAGCTAGTAACTGTGAAAATAGAAATAATCACCGGATCCTCAAATTTCTAACTGCCCTTTAAGTATTCATGTCGGACAAACTAAAGCTAAGTTTAAAATTGTGATAATTTCATCAAAATCGCTTTGTCTGATTCAGGATTTTGCCAAAAATAAACACGTTGCACGCATTATCCTGATCAAAATAATTGAGATCCATGATATTGTCGTGATAATCAACAAAAACTTACTGGAATCAGTTTACCTTACATTTTATAGAGCAACAAATATTTTTTGTTCACAGATAGGACATCCTAATATTGTATATTGTCCCATACCTAAGCTGAACAGCCGCTCATTGCATGGAGCACATCATTTTTTTGCGTGAGGTGATTATTTCTGTAATATCTGAGCTGGAAATACCCAAGACCACATTTACAAGATTTAACAGATAAACATCAGCCACTGATATTGGTGAATGCCATCTTATTTGCCGATAGGCCCATGTCAGTCAACAAGGTGAATATCAGCCGATACCATTGAGTCAATATATCGGTGCAACCCTATTGAAAAGGGCTGTTTGAAGCCTTATTCATTATCCACTGCACTACCCCCGTTCTTCAGATACCTCATCTGAACAACAGTCATGACTCATCAAGCATTAACAAACTTGTAAATGACGTCTCTGATGGCAAAAGACTAAACCTTTTTGTTGTATACCCCCTTTTCAACACAGTGTAATGTGTTATTTTGGTTCGTGAATACAGTTTGTTCTCAGGGTGTTAATGAGAGTTTTATTATCACATTGTTTAAATCCTTTCTCTATCCATATAAAACTAATTACAAAACTGTTATGTATTCATCATAGATGACATTGTCTCCTGTTAGAAAATAGTCATATCATGTCGTCCTCCTCCCATTTTGCCGCGGTGACCCAGATTTTCCACCTATGACAGCACCAGTTTTGGAAAATGAAACAAAAAAAAACACTAGTGGAGTCTGTGGTGCACAGCAAGCTCCCAGACGCCCCCCCATCCCACAGTCTCCTGACTCTGGAGCTTTTCACCGGGAAGGCAAGCGGTGTGTGACAAACTGGTGCGATTATGCGCCTGTCTGCTCCATGCGTAATGCCTTCAGAGGCCCGTCCCATTATGTAATTTGTGGGTAATGACTTGTCCAGGCCGGAGCAGAGGGAATAAAAGGAGAGCTGGGAAAGCATTCAGTGGAGTGCGGCAGCAGAAGGCCTGTGGGTGGTAGAATCACACAGAATGGTCAAAATAGCTGTGAACAAAAGCTGCTTTGTCTACTGCTGAAAGTTTTCATACCCCTCCTCCCCATTCTTAATGGTGACCTCTCCACATGTTCGCTCGCCATTTTGTTCAGACTTATCCAGGTGAATGCGTGTAAGCTCTTGCCTGCTTTACCTTTTCCTTGCATCATGCTGTTTTTTTTGCCGAGCCCAAATTGAGTTTGCAAACTGTGACAGTGTGTGTGCAGCTTCAGAGGAGGAGGCTGGAGATGACATTTATTTCTCTCTACAGGTACCCGCCATTCTTTGATGACAATCCGTTCGGAATTTATCAGAAGATCCTAGCCGGAAAACTGGAATTCCCACGCCATCTGGATTTTTATGTCAAGTAAGTTCTGGACATCAGGTCAGGGTCAAAGTGTGTGTGTGTGTGTGTGTGTGTGTGTGTGTGTGTGTGTGTGTGTGTGTGTGTGTGTGTGTGTGTGTGTGTGTGTGTGTGTGTGTGTGTGTGTGTGTGTGTGTGTGTGTGTGTGTGTGTGTGTGTGTGTGTGTGTGTGTGTGTGTGTGTATTTTCAGCATACATGAATCATTAATGTCTTTGCATATACTAGGGAAGTCACTTTCTAAAAGTCAAGTTCAAACTAATTTAAGCTAACACATAATTTGTTCGCTATAGGGTAATTAATCCCCTCCCTACAGAGAGTGTTTCACCTTTCAGCACAGTCTTTATATTTTCCCATGTGGTGTCGTACAACTGCACTGTGTGTCTGGAGATCATGATGCCAGTGTGAATTTAATATGCCGGCTCCAGCTCTGTCATTATCCTGACAACCTCCTCCTGAAACAAAGCCAATGGGCCGCGTATCCTTCAAATAAATCTTGCTATCTCATAGGTGATTGCCTTTTTACGAGCTTCTGGCTTCTGAGGATGAGTGTGGTGAAAAGGAGGCTGTCAGACACACTGGTGTTCAATTACAGGGAAATTCTGGTTCATAACAAGTGGGATTAGGACTGGAAGATGAGGCCTAAAAATAAAATCTCCCAATTTTTACAGACAGAAGACACCATATCTTTGGCATAGTGGAAAACACCACATCTGTAATGTCTTATCACTGGGGCCCCTTCTTAACATATGAGATGGGATGATTCTTTACATTCATGTGTGTAGATGAGTGAATTGGGGTTGTTTTACAGAGTCCTTCGCAGCTGTAGTATCCCCAAATTGTAACATTCATAGTTTAAATCTCCATCCTTTTGTTTTTTTGTATCATCTTGAAACTTAAATTATCGCCCAGCTCTAACTGATGTTTTATTTTTATAGTCTAATCTTTCATTTATATTTTCCTTTGCTATTGGAAGAGAAGGGTGAAGCGAGGGAGTTGTGATCTGCAACTACACCGCTAGATGCCAGTAATTTCCTACACGCTAGTCCTTTAACTTTAGAATGCAAAGCCCCCCAAACTTCTCCTGGAAAAAAAACCCCACCAAGAACCTCAGTGTCCTTTCCTGTAGTGCCAGGACTCCTATCACATCATTTGAAACCAAAACCTGGTCTGCAGGTGGACGTGTTCATAAGCTGTGGCCAGTCAGGAAATGATAGTCTCCCTACTGAGGGTCACTGACACACTCCACCCAACCCCCCCTACCATTTAAATGACTATTTAAGCATAATACTTCAAACGACTGTTGGGGCCACATTGGCCGTGGATTGGGGTCTCTAAGTGCTGCAGCCTCCCTTTAACGTGGGGACAATGAGCTCCCTGGAGCTAAAGAGGGGCTTCAGGTTGACCTGCAGTCACTAATGACACACCCAGCTGATTTGGACCGGTTCCCCCACCGCTCACACTGCCCATTAGAACAGCTGGAGGGCACAGGAATGTGCAAGATTACAGGCTCATTGTACTCCCTGTGTGTGTGTGTGTGTGTGTGTGTGTGTGTGTGTGTGTGTGTGTGTGTGTGTGTGTGTGTGTGTGTGTGTGTGTGTGTGTGTGTGTGTGTGTGTGTGTGTGTGTGTGTGTGTGTGTGTGTGTGTGCGTGCGCGCTCACTCAATCAGTCCTGACACAGTGGCCCCGGAGAGCCCAGACACACACTGCTTCCCCTGATAATTCAGCGAAGCCACAGCTTCCCACTGTTAAGCCATCTATCTTGCAGCCAGCAGACAGAAGGATTTTTAATATTTCCACCATTTATATCACTCTTACACAGTTCCACGTCACACACTCCCATCCATCAAGAAGTGAAAGGCCTTGCAGAGGACTGCAGGCAGACTGCTGCGTCTGAGCTATGCTCAGACAGACTGGAGGACTGTCCCAGGGTGACCCCAGCAGTAAAAGTCTTGTATGGCATTAGTCATAAAATTAGTTGGTTGTTAAGGAGATGTTATGGACCTGTTGACATTGTGTTGGCCCAATCTAGCACCCTCTCCACCACCTCCATGTCTTCCTCTGCTGTCTATATGTGGTGGGAAGCTTGTGCGTAATCCCTGAGACGTGTTTGGTTCCCTAGGAGGCTGAGAGGAATTTCTTAGAGGGACTTTAATGAGTAACACTAAACATACTTTAAACAGCTACTGTCACAGTGCTCTTAAAGCAACTGCTGCAGTGGAGCTCAGCCACTTGTATAATAAAGAGCTGTGTGTACTCTTTCATGAATAATACAGCTCTTCAAGTCTGTGGTGAGAGAAAATTAAAAGAGAAAATGTTTTTGATCTATTTCTAAGGAAAATCAGGCATAATTATTTGTTACAGTAAATTAAAAATAATGTTCAACATTAAAAAAATCAGTGAATATGAAAAAGGTTCAATTTGAGAATAAAGCAGCTGAATTGATATTTTTGGTACTGTAACAAACTGAAAACATTGTTAGCAAGCAGTTGTCTGTTTACACATCCAGCAGAGAGACTGCAAACAAAAGGTGACTTAGAAAAACAAATCAATTAGAAAAATCAATAAAAATGTAGGTATTTTAGCATCTATGCAGAAATGATGTGGATAAACTATGAATTATAATACTCTTAACTGCTAGAAATATATGTATACATAAATGTTGATATTTATGAACATCAGAATGTATTTTTTATACGTTTTATAACGTGAATAACCTTTGCAAACTTCACATCATTGGAAGACTCTCCCTACTCTGCCTCTGATTGGTCCTAATGCTTTAACCATCTCACCACTCATGCCAGAGTGGGGAAAAAAATCACGTGGGCCTACTCTATCTTAAAAACATTATTTTTTCATGTCTCATTTATGAATCTCGCATTAGCCTGTAGTTTGGCATGTTGAGATAAATGTAATTACTTCTGTGACCCAAACAACCAACCAGCCATACTTGTAAGCAGCTGGATATACTTGTCTTTAGCTGCATAAAAGGCTTTCTTTATCAACCAGTGAGATGGCAGTTTAGGCGGAAAAAATCAAGTGTGAATGAATAACAACTAACACATAATCTGTTATGCAACACAGGTAGCCTTATCCTAAACTAACTTTATGCTGTAAAATCGATGTGATGCTGTTCATTTGTGTTGCCGAAAATGGCTGTAAGGCAGCTGCTGCAAACAGACTTACTTAACCATGATCCACAATTTTCAATCAGTGGTGTCAAATACAAAATTCTGAATTAAATTTCAACACTACTTATTAACTGTCTGCTGGTTGGTGCTGAGCAGGTAGCGTACATTGGCTCTATCAGAACTTTTTCACTGGCAATATCTGCCTTAAAGACCAACTAACAGAAGCTTTTTAGAGCTGCTGAGGGTGAACTGCAGAGTTGGTCATTATATTCTTTAATAGTGATTAGTGCAGCTTAAAGGGGAATACCTCAAATTGTAATTGGAAAAGGGAAAAGTGAACGTTGTTGAAAAATGAAACACAGAATATATCTTTTTTTTTTCCTTCCCCCAATCTCCCTTCTTGTTTTGTCCCCATCATTTCCGGATGAATTCTCCTTCATGAAATCCATGAAAAGGCATAAATACAAATACCCCCCCCACTGATTAAAATATTTCTCTGTGACATATCACTCCTGTCTTTAAGCATAGGAAGGATTCCGTCAAAAACAGAGAAATAGCTGACTTGTCAACATCTAGCTGCTGTATTTATGAGCCTGTCAGCAGCTCGTCGGGCGTGAGATACAGCACCTTTATCAAAAGCTCTCTGTTCGTCAGCAGCTATCACATTTCATCCGAAAGCCTACACTCTGCCATTTTAAAACCCCTGTGAATCATCCTCATTCTCTTCTCAGAGATGTCTACATCACGTGTACTAGTCTCAGAAAGGTCCTGTCTGCAAAAAAAAGTGCTCACTTTCTCCAATTAAAAGATTGTCAAAGGGACACAACTTACTGAGCCACCCCTCGTCACCTTCAACAGGCTGTCAGGCTACCTTTGGTGAGGGTGCATTTGTCATTCTGACAGCGCTGGGGAGGACCACATGACAGTTTTTCCTTGAGAAAGAGCAAGAGGGTGGTGGGGGGGCACATGTACCGCTTTGGATTCATTCACTGTTTCTTTTTCCCCCTAGAGACCTCATCAAGAAATTTCTGGTCATTGACCGAGCCAGACGGCTAGGCAACATGAAGGTGAGTTGGTTAGACTTCCTGTCTCCCTGATACACATGGCAGCTCACCATATTGCATACCTTCAGTAAGTAGTTAGACATCAGCAGTCTAGGGTCCAGGACAGGACAGGACAGGCCCACAGTGTGATTGAAGCTCCACATGGTTCCAGTTAGTCATAAATGAAGAGAAATTTACAAAAGGATTGTTTGGACTTTTCCCCTTTCAGCAGGGTGGGTGTCTTTCTGTGGGTGCTTCCATTTGTAATGTGTCTGACTTGTAATCCAAATATTAATGAAAGCAAGCTTACAACGTGTTTTCATGCCTCAGTTATTGAAATCCAACCTTTGACCAATCTATAAGGAATCATTTGAGATAACATATATTATTCTCTTTCATCAGAGAATTGATTAACCAGTTTAGCATTAATGATTTCTGCCTTTAGCAATTGACCCTTCCTGAGTCCCGCCCCTTTTTGGACTGTGCTCCACGCAGCAGAAGATTTCATTGATAAACAGTTAAGGAAGCCACGGTCAACTTTTCCTACCTGTGCTTAGATAGGCTCTGTGCTAGGTTATGATAGGCTAGTCTATGTTGAAAAGACAACCAAGTTTTGAAGATGGTTAAAAGATAAAACACATCAAAACTTAAGTTAGGTAGCAAATGTTAGCAAGCCGTCGCTAACTAGCTAGCTAAAAGGCATCAATCATTAGCTAACTAGAGTTTTGCTACAGTACAAAATACTAGCTAATCTACATAAGTATATTAGTTAGCTATCATTTTACTTACATTAACTAACTTAAGATGTGACTGTATATTTGTCACTTTTATCTTACAACCATCTTCAAAATGTGGTTGTCTTTTCAACATAGACAAGCCTATCACATAGCATATCTAAGAACAGGAAAAGGAGGAAGTTGGCCGAGGATTGTTCAACTGTTATTGGAGCACAGAGGAAAAAGGAGCGGAACTTAGGAAGGGTAGATTTGACCCCATACTGACCTTTTCCATCCAACTGCTGCTTCATGGGCAGCGAGCCTCCTTTAGCAAAGTGAGCTGTAAGTCTGGAGTGAATGAATCTTTTTGACACCCTGTCGTAGGATTATGACGGGGATTAAAAAAACACATGAATCTGCTCCATTTGACACTTTAGCTACACTACAGAACCTAAACACAGAAGAAGGCCTGAAATGTGGGTGAAACGCATTTCCACTAATTTCACTGTCTACAGCCTCAGGAATTTGACTGACATTTTTTTTCTAGTGATCTCTTGGAGGAATTACAGAGTGTAAAATGGTGTGTGCGTTTTACATTTTACTGGGAGCCTGCCACTTCATCACTCATCAATGGGAGGCTGTGTAGATTCCCATTCAAACTGGAGGACTGGAGCATTTCAATTAACAGTAGTGAAAAGAGCGGGAGACTGAGAGCTGCTCTCAATAAAACAAATACTCCTCTAAACCCAGTGATTAACTCCACATAATCCCAGACAAGATGATATTGATTTGTGGCTGCCAATATTCCAGTCACATCGTTCATTAACAGCACTGATGCTTCTGTGCAGTCACAGGCTGTCTTTCCTCATGTACAGAGGCTGGACAGTGCCACTATAATAACAGAGTTTAATTACAATTGGTTCATACATTCCAAAATTCCAAAAGCTATTATAAATGTATTTAATTAATTTGAAAAAGGAATTGATAATTATATATATCATATTACCTCTTCTTTCAATGATGAAATTACATTTGCGTCACAAAATATATATTTTTAAGGGATTTTAAATGGTATTTCTTTGTCTCATTTGCTAATTTATCTACCGATCATATTCCATCTCTAAGTTTTTGTAACTCCATTTTTGCTTTAATTTAAAGTTGTGTAAGCATTTTAATATCACCCAATTGATTATTTGTGTAAGCATTTTAATATCACCCAATTGATTATTATCTCATTTTATTTACAAAGTCCTGATTTAATTTCATTTGATTGAACTCTTAAATATTTCATTTTACCAACAAAAAAAGAAATGTCTATCTATTTTTGCAAAATGCAAATAACCTGTTAAATCTGACAATTTATAAAATTGTACAGGTTTTGTTTTCAGAAAAAAATGCTAAATAACTTACCTTTGACCTACATATGCAAAAGACTTGCTCAACTTACAAGGCTGTTATTTATTATTCAATAAAAACAAGATAACATTAACTAAGAGTTTACAGCCATGCTAGCAGCTTGGTAGCGCTTACTTGAGCTAAATGCTAACACCAGCATGCTAACATTCTTATAATGATGATGCTAACATGCTGATTTTTAGGGATGTAATGTTTTCCATGTTCACCTTTTGTAGTTTATATTCAATTCAATTCAATTTTATTTGTATAGCATCAATTCATAACAGAAGTTATCTCAGGATACTTTTCAAATAGAGTAGGTCTAGACTGAACTCCTTACATGCGAGTTAGAACTAAAGCACAGCTAAGGCTGATGGGAAAAGTGTAGTTTTGTATTTGAACCAAAGTACAGGACTAACTGAAATTATGACCTGATGGTGGCACAAGAGGAAAAGTCGTTAAAGTGATCAGAATTCCTTTCGTTGTAATAGAGCGTTGCGAGGATGATGTGGTCGAGACAGACGACCACCCACCTAGAGCCGGAGGATCTGTCCTAGTTTTTCCTTGCCCTTGTCGCCAAGTGCTTGCTCATGGTGGTACTGTTGGGTCTCTGTAAATAATGTTATAAGGAGTTCGGTCTAGACCTGCTCTATTTGAAAAGTGTGGGCGCTATACAAATAAAATTGAATTGAATTGAATTGAATTGAATGTGTTTTTGTAGTTCAAGCCGGGAGTTGGTGACGACAAGAACCAATGGGATTTTGGGAGCTCTGGCTAAAAAGGTCTATTTTTTGTTTAGCACAACTATAAATGAACTACACCACGGTCGCATGACTTTAACGTCATCACCACTAAACTTCCAATTAGTAATTAAATCTTCTAATTAAAATCTACAAGCTGGAAAATTGGAAAGTTTGAGTTGGAATAGTTTGCAATAGTGCAAGTATAAACACAGCAAGGCTGTAAAGGCGGACCAGTGAGTAAATAAGTCTCAGCGTTTGCCGTGCTGATGTTTAATGTCACCGACGACCTCTGTAGTCTCATTTAGCCACTTGTTGGCTACTGCGTTTTTTAAGACGATGGAAAAAAGCTTCTAAATTCTCAGGTGGGATATTTACTGACGTATTTTTTATATATTTTAAACGTGAAAATCTGTTAAGCTTGCGTTAACCACAGACCTTATTTCAGGCATCGAAGCAAATCCTTGACTCAGAGGAGAGGGAACTGGAAGTGCTAAAATGCTAACTGAGTTCCAGGTTTTAGGACTCCTGCAGCACTGTATTCATCCAATAGCTGTGCAGGTTTCAGTCAGACCAAAGTGGTGGACCAAGGGACAACATTGATTTCCCTAGAGCCACGCTGCTAGCATGGCTAACAAAAACACAGGTTATCCCACACGGCTACGCGCTGTCATCCACTTTAATTCTCAGTTTGAGCTCATACAGGGCAGTGGCAGTCCCCACTAATTTATCTGCTCCCGCTGTTTGTATTGACAAGACATCAGCCTGACATCTGCACACAGCTGGCTAGCTATAGCTGTAGGAACAAACTGCACACTGTTCGCTCCGCTCCCATGGCTTCACCTCTCATAACCAGAGATAATATCTCATCGACACACACAAAGCGGGAGCTCAGATCAGTTAAATGAAATGAAATTAAAATTAAGTCTTACCCACAGAGCAGCAGCAGGAGCTCTGATTGGCCAGCTGTTGAGTATTAGCAGAAGTTGAGTGTTAGGTTTGGCCTATCAGAGCTCCTGCTGCTGGTCTGTGGGTTTGCTTTAAAAGGTGCATTTTCAAATTCTACTATTATTTTATCATTTAAAGACCATGTTGAACCGCCATATTTCTACAGTAGCCCAGAGGGGACAAAGTGCACACTAGCTTTAGAGAGGGGCGTTCGTGTTTTTCATTGCCACCATGGTTTCTCCTTCACGCTTGGAAGCAGGCGATGAAGGGAGGGAGTTTCGATCTGCAGCTACATCCTAAGACCTATAAATGTAATTATTTTTTTAACTGTTTAAAAACGAATTGCCTTTGTGCACTCCATACAGGCAGATATTTTTCTCTTTTTGCTGTATTGACTTTATACTGAAAGAAACCACAGGAAGAAAGAGATGAGTATCATGTGTGTTTAGACTTTGTTATTCCCAGTAGATTCCTCCAAACAGGAGATCCATTAATTCAGTTTCCAGTGTTAGTGTGAGACACCAGCTCTGTGGTATATGTTGTTGTTATTGAAGTGAAGATGCTGGCAGATGATATTTTCCATCGGTTATTTTTTTCTTTCTGAACCTTTTCATGTTCAAAAATGCCCAGATGTTTATTGTTGTTATGGTGGGAATCTGTATTTAAACCACCCCGGGATATGACGAGTGTCCACTGAAACAAGGCAGATTGCTGACATTCTTTGAGGCACGTTTTTACTGCAGCTTTAACAGTGAATAAAACTGGCCATCAGAACTCATCTTTATAGGAGCAGCAAATCCTGACAGGCTGTTATATCATTTTTAATATTACCTATATCACTACAGAAGTCAAAATAAAAACAACACTGGGTCCCATGCAAGAAGCAGTATGTACAATTCTCTTATTTTTGTTTCTATCCAAGATTTGTTCTTATTTTCTTAGTACCCACTGATTTCTTTGATTCTATCTATCTGTCACGTCTTTTTTGGTGGCGTGTCTCCAATTCTTGGCCATGTGCCTGAGTATTTCCACATGGCACACCACCCTTACATGTTGTTTATTGGGCATTATCTGTGCAAATAACATACAATCAGCCACATGCCTCCAATTTAAGATCAAATGAGATTCATCATTCGGAACACCTGGGTATAAACAGATTTGGATGTTTAGGAACGTTCGGTGCATCTGGATGTGATTTCTCTTAAATATAAGATACATTTAAGAGAATGTTGCTGCATGAGGCCCATTGTTGTATACAGAGGAAGCATGAGCAGTGTGCTCAGCTCCGAGCTGCACATGCATGTGTTGTACAGTATATGTGTTTACAGCCATGGTTTCTGTTTCAGAATGGAGCAGAAGATGTAAAGAAACAAAGGTGGTTCAAGACAGTAGACTGGGAGGCAGTTCCTCTGAGGAAACTGAAGGTGAGAGCACTTTTCAAAAGTCTCTGTTTCTCTTCAACTGCAAATCAAGTTAATGTTTTGGGAATATGATATTTATAGGTATGTTTTCATTAGTGTATAATTAGCTGAAAATAAAAAATGTTGTGTTTTCGTTACCTTAGAATGATCTGTTTTCATCTACAGAGGGAGCGGGTCCCGCAAGAAGTGTTTTGCTTTTCTCTTTAAATTAAATTTTATATCACGATTTGATTAACTGTTAATGTACTTTAACCATTAAATCAACATGCAGCAGTGTAGTTGCAACTCGTCTTAAAGCTGACAATGGACAGCTGAATTATCTTTTATTATTATTTCTTTTTCTAAAACAAACAGATGAGGCAAAAAAAAAAGCTTCAGTTAGTTAACTGAATATAGTGTTGTAATTTGCAATATAGAAAACACTAAAAGACCAGCAGCTTTAGAGACTGTTTGACCTGATGGTTAAAGAGAGAGATCGGGTGTTATATGAGGCACTAACCCTGGTTATTTGAAGGTATGGGCACCCTTTGACATATTTTGGTGATTTTTTTTTAATTGAAAAGATGTAAACACAACCTTTCAAGGATATGAAACTTACAATATAATATTTTCAGCAACAAATAAAAACCTCATTGTGGGATATTGTGGGCAAACATTTCTACATTGTTAGTACTCCCTGGCAGATGTCGCAGCTTGCAGACAGTTTTTGTAGCAGCTAAAAGTCTATTATATGGGATTTTTTTCCCATTGCTCTTTGCAAAAGGCTTCTAGTTCTGCAATATTCTTGGGCTGGTTTGCATCCATAGCTCTTTGAAGATCTACCCACAGAATTTCAATGATATTTAAGTCAGGGGACTGTGAGGGCCATTCCAAAACCTTCAGCTTGCGCCTCTTGAGGTAGTCCATGCTGGATTTCAAGATATTTTTAGGATCATTATCCTGTTGTAGAAGCTTTCCTCTTTTCAGCTTCAGCTTTTTAGTGGAATCCATTCTTCCACCCACCCGTGCACCCTGTATCCATACTCAGTGTGGGCGGTGGTCAATGCAGTACCTCATACAGCCCCACTTCAAAATACCTGAACTATCCCTTTATTGTCTTTAATACATTTTAAGGGCATTACTCCATGATAATACGAAGGCTAATAGCAGCAACATTCATGCTGCAAGTATCGGCTAAGTTAGTGTTAGTCCTTTTTGGGTCAAGCTGTTGTGTAATTTCCAATATGGTGAAACCCTGAGATACTGCATTAGCTTTGTTGTTTCAGACCTGCCCATTGAACTTGAACTAAATGTTCCGTTGTCTCCACAGCCTCCCATTGTTCCTAAGGTTTCCCACGAGGGTGACACCTCTAACTTTGATGTTTACCCAGAGGACGACTGGAAGAAAGACCCTCCCGTGCCTCAGAAGGACTTAGAGATCTTCAAAAACTTCTGATCACTCAGCTTGGTTAATTTATTGCTGGAATATCCCAAGAATTGACACAACATATTGTAAAGTTACCGTTACAGGTACCGTCATGGAGAGGATCCTTATTTATCGAAGCGGGGGGGAGTTATGTAATAATGGCCTCCCCCGGAGACAAACTCCAAATGATTGATACTGTGACGTGTGTCATACCACAGAGATGATTTGCTTTTTATATTTTTATTTATATGACTTGAGTCAAACCTTTTGCTGTTTTTATTTTAATTTTTTTATCACATTTTTTCTCTGAGCCTGCTCATATGCAAAAAAAAAAAAAAAATCTGGTTCCACTGAAACCAAAAGACTGTTACTTTCTAGGTTTAAAAAAGAGAATATTCAGGTCTTTTTTTGATATTATCATGTTTCATTTTGTATCTCTTTTTAAAATGTTCATGCAGTCATATTTATTGTGACTCCAGACTGGTGCTGTAGCTGTCAGCGGGCCAGTAGCTATTAATGTGCGGTTTTAGACTCTTATACTGTATGTAGTCATGAATCAGCCACTTTATTTGAAAATGCGTGACCCGTAGCACTTGTAAAAAGGTGCCTTACATCATAGTTTGATGGGCATGATGTCTCGCAGTTACATAAAGTTCACTTGAAATAGTGCTTTTCTCAGCCTTCAACGCTAATAGAAGTTGAATCATGGGACTGTTGGTACATGTGAGGTGCTGTTGTAGAGAGCAGGCTGCCTAGTGTGCTGCCGTGTCTCCTACTGTAACGTTTTCTTCCCCGAGCTCTGTCAATTCCTGTTGCAGCAGCTTTATTTGCAGCCAAAGGACTTTGTTATTACCATACAGTCACAGCTGTTCTACAAATGAACTACAGACTCTCCCATGACACTTCCCTCATCATCATCATCATCATTATCATTGTTGTCGTGCTTTTAAAAGCCGGGTTATATGAGGTGAAGGTGAGGTCAATATTTAAACGTGCTACCAGGAGTGTTTGACTGGTTATCAAACAGTCTTCATTTTATACTGATGCCTCTATATGACCTACATAAAAACAAGACCATAGCTAGAAGATTGGTTATTTCTGTATACCGCTTTTGTCCACAGGGGCCGCCAGAATCAACACAAAATTAAAATTCCTTTTAGCAACTTTAAAGGTCCAGTGTGTAACATTAAGGAGGCTCTGTTGGCAGAAATGGAATAGTATATTCGTAGGTATGTTATCATTAGTGTATAATGACCTGAACATAGGAAGAATTATAATAAGCTGTTTATATCTACAGACACTGCAGGTAGCCTTCGATGGAGGCTGCCATGTTCAACCACCATGTTTCTCCTGTAGCCTAAAAGGGACAAACCAAACACTGGCTGTAGATAGGGCCTTTCAGTAGCTTCATGGCCACCGTAGTTTCTCCAACAGACTTCACAACCTGTTCCCTTTCCAAGGTCGTCAAATACACAAACTAACGGTTTTGAGTTAGTTGCAACTTCACTGCTAGATGCCATTAAATCCTACACACTGGTCCTTTAACTTCTCACTCTATAGAGCTGCATTACAGTTGACCGACAGTATTCATCAGCGTTTCATGTTATTGTGTAGTAGAGGCTTTGGTGTTTCGGGACAGTATAGACCTTTCAAAATAAAATTCATATCTTTTTTTTTTTTTTGCTGCCATTAAAATCCAAGTGATCCTGTGATTTTTGTTCCTCATCCTTCTTTATAGAACTAACTGTCTGCACTGTAGATTGGCAGATTAACAGCGAATAGTGTGAAACATAGGAACAGAATTGTCATCCTTGTACATTCTCTCATTGGGTTATGTTCTAATAAGTGACAAGATAAAAAGATTAGAAATAGTAGAGGAATAGATTCTAAGATTTGCCATTTTCTGGAACCCCATCAAGGACCCCAGGTTGGGAATCACTGTGTTAGTAATGAAATAAAATGCAGAAAGACCATTTTGAGTTATAAATCCATGGTTTTTCAAAGAAAACGAGGACCTTCGTTTTGATTGGTATAAAAATCCTAAATCCTGCCGGTAGTTGATTGGTCAACGCAGAACCTTGCTGGATGAGATCACATTGTGTTTCGGCAACATTTGGAGCCAATTTTATTTGCTGCGTTCTTTTGCAGGAGCCCTCTGTGTCACTACCATCACTTTTCTATCACAGTAGAATGTTAATGTTAGTGAAAAAAAGCCCTATTTTTATTTTCAGTGAACAGTTTTAGGACATTTTGCCATCTTCTAGCGTCCCATTGCCTTCAAGCTGAATATTGTTTTGATACACAGCTGACAACATTTGCTCTCATCAGTGCAACTTCCAGTTCTCTGCAGTGTATCCGTTACCTCTCTGTGTTCTTGTACAGAAGGTGTTTCACGTGTCTTTTCTCTTAACAATACTCAAACAATTGTTAGAGCAAATATTCAGCAGGCACCTGACATACTCATCGCTCCACGCATTGCCTCATTCACACATTCTCATCTGGCTGCTGCCACACTTGAATGTCATCAACTAAGAAACAAAATCTTGTTCTTGTGCTTTTTCTTCACTCTTACATCACAGCTGTTCTGGAGAGTTCTTATGTCCCAAAGGAATGAATCCCTCTGCCTCATTAACTGGATTTCTGAGGGCAATATCAATATTTTACAGGTTGATCTATATTATTTGAACACTGAAACCTTTGAGGTGTAATGAAGGTAAATATTTTTAACTATGGCTCCTTTTAAATTTAAAAGGTTGTGACAAATATATGTACTGAGTGCGACATTTTACAGTTGAGAAAAACTTTAAAACGACACAATTGATTAAAATGTTTAATTGTATTTTAGCCCCTCACCCACGCTGCTGCGAACAAATCACACACAAAAATCCAGAGAAGTGAGTTAACCACAGAAAAAATGAAGGAAAATTATTAATCATTATTAAAAGAGTGGAAAACCCTGTTAGAACCTTTTTAGCACCAGGCTAAAGGATGGCACAATCCTGGCACATTCTGACCTCGACTTTTAGGGTAATCCCTCAGTTTGCAGGGTCATCCCATGAAAGTCTACCGAACACGGGGCTAAAAGGGTCTCGTTAGGGTTAGTAGAAGTGCAATGTGGATCGTATAGCTCTGGACTACCAGCGTGAAAAGTTTCCAGTGTCAACTCTGAACCCAGGACTTAATCCCACTGTACTCCTGGAAAATCAGAATCAAGTTTCTGCATAAATACTTCCATTTCCATTGTACACCAGTCCATCCCATCATGTTGATTCACCATCAATGAAACACTTAATTTTAAAAGTATTAATCCTATCCATCATCCTCCCTTTTACAGTGAACATGTGCAGTATATGGGCCTGCACACATCAGCATGTATTTCCACAGCAGCAGCTCTGTCTCCTGTTTATATGTAGCTTTTAATGATGTAAAAATCACCACTGTTGACAATGCCTGTTATATCACACACCACTTTGTATATGTAAAGCTTTTTCTGCTGAGTAGAGGAGCCTGGACTCTCAGTGCGGTGCTCGTCCATTTAGAGCAGTTTTTGTACAATGCATGTAATGTCTGTAACCTCCAGCCCCCGCCCATTATGTCTCACCCAGAATGCTTTGTCGGCGCGGTCATACATCGTTTTCTACCCAGTACATAACAATGCCTTTTAATATACAGTTACTCCCTTTATACCTATGGAATGGCACATGTTTGTATGAAGACTAAAGAGTCTTTGAAAATGTTTGAAAACCTGGAAGTGAAAAGAAAGAAACATGTTCTCTTCTTCTCTTGTCCTGCCTGGTCCTTCCTGTCCTCGCTCTTTCTCTCCACGTCCTCCAATCTGTCAGCAGCTGCAGGCCGGCGTCGCTCTGAAGGTCAGCCGTCGGCCTGTGTAGTCGAGCAAAGCTTTCATATTTACAAAATGGAAATCTGACATTTGGGAAATGAAGTCTTCATTTCGGCGATGTTTAAAGCCTCTCCGGTTCAGGTTTCCGTGACAAAGTGTACAGACTGCCTGCACGCAGCTCTCTGGGGCTGCAGAGGTGAGCATCAGTATGTATACAGGAAGGGAGACAGCACAGTCATACTGTTTATACAGAGAACATGCTGCACATCTACCCTGCTCGAGGATAAATAGGAAAGCCTCTTTTCCATTTTATTTCCACTGATAACAAAAAGGCATTTGCAATGCGAGTACTCAGGCTGATTTCTGAAAGACTTGACGCATCTGTAGCTTGCACTGCAGCTAAATAAACGTCATCTGCACGTCACGCTAGCAAATAAAGTGATGAGAGGTGCACCGTTATCAGTCTCGGCTGTTTCCTCATCGTGCTGAACGCGCAAACGGTTAATCATCAAACTGGCTGTTCTGTTATACACTAGTTTAATGTAACGTAGCTCGCACTGCACGTTAATGTAGTTTATTTTGTTGAAATACTTCAAAACATCACTATTATGCCTGGTCGTCATTCTGCCTGTAACAGTAGATTATGTGGTACTGAAAGCTTTGATCATTTTCTGCGCAGAATTTTTCCTGTAGAATTATGCAAGTACTCTATACTTTGAATGAATACTGACGTCCAAATCCAGTACTCATGAATGAACAAAATCAAAAATGTAACATTACAAGACTGATTGCAAAAAAAATTATAAAAACCTATTCATAACAGAGGAACTAAGACAGAAAAACAATACCTACTGGAATCCTACAATATGTAATTTCTGCCGCTATGGGGATCTCTCGCATCAATCCAATAATAAAAGACATTTGGTGACATTGTGAGGTAGTTGTTGTCTTCACCACCATTGCCAGTTAGGATTCCTGCAGTGTACAGAAGATTTTTACCGGGAGCAAAATCATCCACAGAGGTCTCTTCTTCTCCAAAACAAACAGACCTGGTGATTAAAACCAGTAAAAACACTGAATAAATCAATTTCACCTTAAAAATCAGTGTTTCTCTGATGCTGTTCAGCAGAAAAAAGACAGGTTTGAACATCTGGCAAAATGTGCACAACTCAACACAATATATGAGACAGGTCTCGTATTTATAGACATTTTAATGTGGAAACATGATATGTGTAACTTGTTACAGGGCCCAAGCCTTAATAATCAGCTGCAAATTGATATTGTACTGTCATAATTAACTCTCACACTCTTTGACACCTGGAAGTAAAGCTTTATTTTACACTTCTTTATTATTTTTTAAGTAATATTCCTGAAAAGAACTCAAAAGAACAATTTGGTTAGAGTGAGAATTATCTAAATATTCATTGATTTATTGATTATTGGGCATATGATTTATTTAATTGTTAAACTGTGTATTTGCCTAAAGACAAATGCCATATTTTTGCATTCAAAAACACGAGGTTACACAAGAAATTCATTGGAATTGATTAACTGGAAAGAATTGAACACTGTCTCTTTATGTTCTCTATAATTAGAACCAAATTATGGTTCTTTCCATGGAACTTCTTGAAAAGTATTCCCATAAAATAAAGCCATACCACTCGGAGGGGAGTTGCCCACTTTGCCCAGCTAGTAATTCAGGCTTGCCTGGTCAGGGTCACAGGTGATTGGAAAGTGTCCCAGCATGCATTGGGCAAGAGGTAGGTTTTACACACTGGGAAGGTAAGTCACTGACTGTAAATGTAACCTGTGTGTGTTGGATGTGGGGGAACAGACCAGCTGAACTTTATAAAGAACTTGCTGTGAGGAGACAGTGGTTTCACTGATGAGTCATTATTAATTCAATTTCTAAAGAAATGAATTAAAAGTTCTGGTTCAGATACGTAAGTCTTAAACATTTGACAAAGAAAGGAGTTCCGAGGATAGAATTATGAGGGATTTTGCAATGAATTTCCCAAAAATTGTTCGGGAGTATCCCAGACAACGCCAGGAAGTCACTGTTTTTTTTGTCCTCTCGTATCATTAAGGAGACACTTCATTACTGAATACCTTCCTCAGGAATGGCTCTGACCACAGGATTCCTCTGCATGTGGTAAGAAATTATGAGTAATCATGAACTGTTCATGTTTTACCTCCCGACTCTGGAGACTGAATGTGCAGCAGAGACAGGCGTGGGAGTGTGATGTTGTCCTCTGTACATTGTTGCTCAGTGACTGATATTAAAAATGTTTGATTATAATTCACTTTTTGACAGTAGCAAGATATTGGTGGGTTTTTCTTTAGTTAACCACCTCATGAAGAAAGCCCTGACGTGGCATTTCCCTGCTGTTACCATGTGTTTTCCGAAAGAGGTGTGACTCCTGGTAGCTGTTCTCATCTGTATCTCCTTAAGTCTAATTGCAATTTAATTCAGTTTTTACATGGATCATGGTCAACTCTATGAGCTTTAATTTCCTCTCTCTATCTCCCAAATCCAGAGGAAGGACTGGTGCTAATGTGCTGAACGCTGCGTTTCATGGAGGGTTATTATGTTTACAGTGGAAAAGTGAGTCATGTTTTGTCTGGAGTGCCTGCTAGTCTCGCTCCAAGTGATGACAGTCAGGATGGTGGGGCTGCACAGCTCTAATAGTCAGCTAATGAAAGCCTTATGAAGTGCTTTCAAGGTGAATTTGGTGGAGTGACGGCAGAGCCTGTGGGAGTGCGGTGTGATACTTCCCAGAAGGCCCAGTGACAGGAAAACGCTCACAATCAGGAGGTAAGTAACAGCCCCAGTAACAGAAGAAAATTGTTTCTTAATCCATTATAATATGTGATGAATTTAATGCAACATAAATGTAATTTGTGCTATCTTCATATTTTCTATCCTAAACTCAACTCGTCTGGTAAATTTTTCACCTGAAAGCAATCCCAAAACAGGAAGCAGGAAGAAGATAATCCATCACAGTGAACGTCATGCCTGCTTTTATTCTTGGAACACTGCGTCTTTGTTGAAGCAGCAATAAAAGCAGATATGATATGTACTCAAGCAAGTTTCTGCAACTCACTGTTGTTTACTGTGACTTTTCTTTATATATATATATATATATATATATGCTACTATATTTTGATTTTTTCATTCAGAGGAATAGGTGCAAAGTTACATCTACCCCTCCCTATTCATACATACACACATACATTTTGGATGCACAATATGGTAAAAACATCACATTGCAACTTTTTTGACAGATATTGCGATTGCACTATGATTTAATAATTAATTTAATGTTTCCCTAAAACAACTATTGGTGTGAGTTTTTTTCTGTACACTGCAAAAATAGCCCTTATAGAAACAAGCCAAATATTCTTAAATATAATCACATTTTCTTATATTGAGCAAAATAATCTGCCAATGTTGTAAACCAAGTTTGCTTGGCTAGAATTCTTAAAACTAGCATACAAATCTACCCACTGAAATACTGTAATGGGCCTTAAAACTAGAGAAAAAAATGCAAGTTGTGCTTATTACAAGCAATGAAAACTGAGTTATTTAAGATAGAATTTCTGAAAAAAAAATTTGGTCACTGTAATGAGCTGAATTTTAAGAACGTGTAATCTAAGATTAGCAAAAACAGTTTCATGAAACAGTATAATAAAAACACTGTCCTAAATGAAGGCACCAGAAGCATTCTTATTTTTAGCATTTTTCTAGAACTAGCTGCTTCATTTCCAACACTGGGACAGACTACTTTCTCTTAAACTGAGAAGTTGTGTGAGTGGTTTTACTCTTAAAATAAGGAAAATGATCTTGTTCCTCTGCTGGGATATGATGCAACCATTGCTGTAACTCATTACTGGTTAAACTAACTTAACATTAGCTGTAATATCTTATTAAGACAAAGTTAGGTGTATATTTTTAAATGTAATGTAATGTAAATGTATTTTAAAATGTATTTTCTAATGCAAAACATATTTAGCAAGACTATTTTTCTTTTTAGACAAAAAAACAAGACAATAATAAGATTTTCTGGAAACAAGGCCTTTTTACTTTCTTGAGATTCCTTTTTTGTAGTGTAACAAACAAACAGATACGTACATTTATAAAACAAATTGCTGCTTCTGCGATTTTGGATCTTACTGTCCAAAAACAAAATCTGTCTGGAGCTTAAACACTTATTTAAGCCTTATAATGCGAATTTGTCGCTGCAGATCAAGCACACTGGTAAGCCAGCAGCGTTGGTGGTTAAACACACATAAATAAATAAATTCTCTATTTTCCTCTGAGATGTTTCTTATTTTTGATTTGGAATCCATAGCTAGCCTTACTAGGGAGACTTAATACATGTAGTCACCACTACAGAGGTTGGGCAAAATATAGAGGACAGGCACCAGGTTAAAAATGTTTTGTGTGAAATGGCAAAACATTTGTGCAATTGGAGAAATGAAAACTATTAATTTCCATATATTTTTTTGTCAAGGCCACAGCACTAGAGAGGGGCTAAAGAGCCGCATGAGTCAGACTATGAAAGTTCTCTGCTTTAGTGCCCTAGCATCACATTTTTTTGAAAAATTTGGCTTCAGTCTCTCCTTGACTTGAGAGTGCAGAGTAACTCATTGATGTGGGCCGTATGAGTGGGAAAGGTCTAAAAAGGCTAATTCAAAACAGATTTGTTGGTTCATTTCTGCCCATCCCTTAGTTTGAGCATGTATACAAGAAGAGAGGAATCATAAAGTCAGTGGGCTGATTCAGTAATGTCAGTTACTCAGTCACTGTGAGCTAATATCAGACCCAGTAAGGCTGAAGCAACAAAATACCTCAATGTGTTGAGTTATGTTAGGATGTGTTTTATTGCTTTCAAATTTGATTTCAAAATTTGATTAGATTTTTCAAAAGTGCTTCTAACATAAAAAGAAGGTAAAATGGTGCTTCCCTTAACTCAAACACATTTAACAGTAGGTACCATTCTAGCTCACAGCCCTCTCAACCAAATCACTTACAGCCTGAAACAGCAACAACATAACAATTAAAGTCCACCAGCAGTCTCCATTACAGATGAGGTCCTGTCAAACCAACTGAACTCCTCCTGAACTCTGTGTATAAATGGGAGCTGTGAATGGGGCAGACATAATTAGTGCTTTTGCAATGAGGCCACGGGCCAGTTTCTTTGGCTCAGTGACTCGCTCTGGCTGGAGAGGTGATGCGTTTAATAGAGGAGGTAAACTCAATTTGGAAGATTTTCTTTTTGATGAGACACTTTCTGTTTGTCTTTGTTGGAATATTCTGAAAAAATATGGATGTTGTTTTAAACTCCTGAACCACATTTTATGTCTGGACTTTGACTGGTGTTGGATTTCAAAGGACTTTTGAGAGGTTACAAGCAGAGTTTTTCTTACCCTCCATTCAGGATCCTTCACAGAGTCATTTAATGGGGGGGTTGTGACGGGCAAAACAAAATGTATCTACCATTTTACAGCCGCTTCTTTCACAGTGTAAGCATATGGGTGAAAGTCTTTTGGGGCCCTAGTGCACCACATGTTGGACACCATTGCTGTAAAGCCTGGCGCTCTTCCTGGTGGTGAGACCGCTTCGGTTGCTAACTGTAGATACAGCAATTAGCAAGTAAAGCTGTCCACCAGGAAACAATGTAAATTACCGACAATTGAGGCAGATTATGTCTGTATAACATGATCCAATTTCACCCACATCAGTGAATATTGTTATAAAGTTGTGTTTTAGGCTAGAACCATCCCTGGTCAGGCACACTGGCCCCCATAAACCCGTTCTTTCATGGGGGTATATTTACGGCACAAGCTCATTCTTTGACACAAAATTAGTATAAGTGCGGGATTTGTCATCAATGTATTTTTTTTCATTTTCCAGGAAATTACAAAAGTTTAAAACACCTTTAAGAATACCCTAAAATACCTATAAAATAACCTTTTGGGGCCAGATACTGTAGTATAGGTTCATTGGGACTGGAATGGAGTTGCAGCTTGTTGCTGTGGCAGATTTTAGGGTTTATGTATGCAGTTTAATGCATCAACAGGCTTTTTTTTTTTTTTTTTTTTTATAAAAACCAGTATAAAAGGAATCAGAAAGGGAATAAGATGACTTGTGTAAAAACATGCACAGATTTTCTCAGAATTGCTCATTTTTCTAAACAAGTGAGCTTATACTATGAATGTACTCCTAACTAGCTACTCAGATTGTAGAGGAGAGCTATCTTTTGTTTAAATTGAGGCATATGAAGAATGAATGAACTCAACTAGGCATAGTCTGATAATCCATTCATGAAAATGAATCAGCCTTGGATATGAATGTGGTCAAGGATGTTTATGTATGAGTTCCTGTTTATGGCTGGTTTAGTTGTGTCACCGTCACAAGTTGTCATTTATCAAAAATAGAGCTGTTACCTAATATGAGCCGGCCAGAGAGCACACAGTGGCGGAAGAAGAGAGGAGAGGGATGTGTTGCAGGAAGTGCATCTGTTCTGTAGAGACCACGATGGATGATTCTCACAAGTATTTTGGTTTAGTTCCCGTCTTCATCTGTTTGTCAACCTGAACCGAAACCAAACTGGAGCTCCATGCACAGCTGGTGAAAGGAGAGTTTCAGGTAAGACCTGCATCCTTTTCTTGTTGCTGAATGTTAGAATGTCATCAACCGCTGTCTCACTTCACTCAACCACACACACACACACAAAAATAATGAGTTACAATAAGCTTTTGTTGGCACCCCCTACTAATTTGAAATCCAATCCAATCTCCTTTGATTTTAAACAACGGAACTGCATTTTAATCATTGTGAATTTTGTGGAGAAGCTAGCTATAATGGACAAGAAAAGATGTGAGTTCAGTTTTAGTTTCGGTGGCATTAATCCTGTCGGTGGAGGAGAGATTGGAAGGTTTTTTTCCCAATTATCTAGGAACCGAGTTGTAGGCCTCTCGTCAGCATGCGCAGCTGTGGCTCAGAGGAAGAGTGGGTCCACTAATCAGAAGGTTGTTGGTTCAAACCGGCTCCTGCCGCCACATGTCGAAGTATCCTTGAGCAAGATACTGAACCCTGAATTGCTCCTGATGCTGTGCATCGGTGTTTGATGGACTTTGCCATCGCTGAGTGAATGTGTGTGAAAGGGTGAATGTGGCACGTAGTGTAAAAGCGCTTTGAGTGGTTAGAAGACTAGAAAGGCGCTATACAAGTACAGGTCCATTTACCATTTACCATCCATGTCAATCAAATTCAAAATTAATCTTGGCAATTGATATATGCCTGTAATACATGGTCCATGAAATTTAAAGGGAAAGAAATCAAGTTAAGTTACTTTAATATTTTGATATTTGGATCATGTTACTGATTCTTTTTAATAATTAGTAGTGCTGTCAGTTAAACGCGTTATTAACAGCGTTAACGCAAACCCATTTTAACGGCGTCAATTTTTTTATCACGAGATTAACGTTCTTTTTGGCCTAGCACACTTTGTTTTTTTTTCACATGCTGTTGCAACCATAGACATAATATACATAGACGCCTCATAGACTGACGCTGCCTATTGGAGCTGACGTATCAGCGCGGCCGCCATCTTGGATGGGTTTCCAATGCGCCCGCCCTGCATTTATTTCTACTGAGGAAGGTGTATCCCCAAATACAATAATCATAACTCCCCGAATTTTTACCAGATTTTCACACGGTTTGGTTACAAACGGCAGAGATTTAGTTATGATACAGGACGCTGTCACACATTGAAAAATACGTGCTTTCATGCTAAAAGACTTTGTATTATGCTCTTTAACAAAGACATATGGTAGGCTATGGCATATTGATAAATGTATAAATGAATTAATTTTATATTATTAAATTAATTAATTAATATTATATTATTTTATATATAAGTTTGATTGTTCATTTGAATTTATTTCGCACCATCTCTAAGCCTGACAATCTGACCCATCCTGTCAAAATCATCATTCTTGAAGTGCTCACTACAGAGCTTTGACGACTCAGTCGCAACAAAACCCTCCCGTCTTGTAGCAACTTCCCATTGCCTCCTCAAGCCTGTATCACTGGGATACCTTCAAAATGTGAAGAAGAAAAAAAAAACAGCCATAGGCAATGAGAGAGAGTACCAGTTCCTGCTGTAATAACGTCACTAGCGAGAACTACGTCATTTTGACGTCACGTTGCCGCACGACAGGTCGACTGCAGCGAGTATTCATAGATGCCACCTACGTCACTATCAAATAGAACGCCGCCATATTGACGACCGATCTCACCCAGTACGGCCGCCCACACCGCCCATTTGAATGAGAGAGAGAGAGAGAGACAGAGATATCTGGAGAAAATTTCCTTATCCTTATTTGTTACCCCCAGTTTTCTTTTGTCCCTTATTATCTGCACCAGGCTTGCCCCAATTGGCTTTCCATGATATATACATTTATCTTGTGCATAACCCCCCCCCTACAGTGGGGATAGCTTGAAGGCTTTTAAGAGTACCGATGCTTATCAGTATGCTGTGGCTGGATGGGTGAAAGACGTGAAGGTGCTGCACCTGTCCACCAAGGATTTATATTTAATCATGGGAAAAAAAAATTTGAATGTATGATTTTGGTGGTAGTTTACTCTGACTAGGTAGCGAGTTGTTAGCTAAGCAGTGTTGGGCATCTTACTTTAAAAAAGTAATTAGTTATATTTATATACTTGAGGCAGACGTGGATAAAGTCTTTTTTCCTGGGCATAGTGCCTGTTACATAAACAGTCTTGCCTTTAACTTCAGTAAGCGAGCAGTAGTGTCGGTATTCCAGTTTTAAACGCTGCCTTTGAATTTCGCTGGCTCGCTCGTCGCCATTGTCTCTGTCTTGTGTTTACAGTAGTTAGAGCGTGCAGTGAGACAGCGTGAGCAGGACATCCGCCCACCCAGCCATCATCATCGCATTTGCAACGGTGTCATCATCACCACCCTGCCCTCTCCCGGCAGCTGATGTGTGTCTGTCAGAAAGCCTGACGCCGCCGCGCTTCATTCAACCAGCGTAGTAACGCAAGTAACGCGCCACTTTACATTCTCAGTAACGGTAACGGCGATGCAACGATGGGAAAAGTAATTAATTAAATTATTCCGTTACTGAAAAAAATAATGCCGTTACGTCGTTATACTTAAACGCCGTTAGTAACGCCGTTATACTTAAACGCCGTTAGTAACGCCGTTATACTTAAACGCCGTTAGTAACGCCGTTATACTTAAACGCCGTTACTCCCAACACTGTAGCTAAGTGGCTAACAGCTAGCAAGCTACCACTCATCTTGGTGTCACTTAGCTCACAGCTAGCTGTCATTAATCTGGATAATGTTCTGTAATGTCAGATGTGATTCTACCTGTTTATACAGTCCATGGTTTATACTCATTGAAGGGAAGGGAAACGAGGCGATTGTGACTGTATGGGAACAGTTTGTGGTGGATTACTCTGATCATTGTTGATGTCAGTGCTGTTTGTGAGCACTTCAGCTTTCTGCTACTGCAGCGGTTCCCAAACGTTTTTTCCCCGCACATGCTGACTCGGCTCGCGTACCCCCGCCATCTGACACATACAAACGTAACACATTCTATTGCATTCCAGGCATCATGTTTAATAAGCCGCCCTACATGATAACAAATAACAAATCAAAATGTGCAACTGGTCTTTGAGCTCTCACACTAAAAAAAATAGCGTGGAGAACAATACTGACTGGCGCGATTGGCCCGAGTCGGTCGTGCCGATGGCGGCGCAAAGCTACAGTGACGTCATGTGAATCGAATGAATACCAGGCGCTTCACGTTAGAAAAACTATAACACCACACCGGATGTAGCTAGACCGGAAACAAAACAACAGGCACGCCACACAAACTTGTTTAAGAGTAGTAGACGTTACGTTTTGAGTGGATGGCGAGCGCGAGACGCCGAAATGAATGCCAATAATATTCTGAATGGAAAGTTTACTTGTAAAGTTGCCAAATGGTTCCACTGACAAGACCAAAGTGATCTGTGTGTTTTGTAGTTGTGAACTGAGCTATCATCACAGCACGTCCAGTCTGAAATACCACTTGATGGCCAAGCACATAGCTGATGGGAATTCTCCGCCCCCTCGTCAAAGCCAGGCGACAATGGATGACTTTTCAATAAAAACAACATTTGCACAAACCAAGCCGATCCACTTTTCCATGTTGATAAGAGCATTAAAATGAGAAAAAATAAAGGGACAAAAAGAAATCAAGGGACATTTAGAATAGATAAAAATGTGCGATTAATTGCGAGTTAACAATGACATTAATGCGATTAATCGCAATTAAATATTTTAATCGTTTGACAGCACTAATAATTTGTAATAATTGTATGGGATTACATTTCTAAAGTGACCCTCCCAATCCTGTGCACCATCTCCATTATTTAATACTCACACACTGGGTTTGCTCTGATATGTTGGTGAGGTATTTGGAACCTCCACTAGAATTTAAAACAAAGATCTTTGGGTTCGAACAAAACACCACAAGCCGGATGTACCCACCAGTGTCCTGCTAGAGGTCAGAACAGGGTCATGGACCAGTAGAGGTTGAGAAAAGCTGCTTTATGAGTTTCACAAACCCTTCAAGTCTGTGATAAATGGTGCTCATTGGATTCCATGGTGAAAAAGAGGAAAGCAAAGGCACTTGGTCTTTGTGTACAAATAGCCTTTATTTTTCTATGTCAACCGTCACTGGCTTCCTCTGAAACAGCATCTCAACCATGACGGGATTAAAAGTCTTGAAAGCCAGACTAATGAAGGCTCTGTAGATGAATTAGCAGCTCTTTATGGCAGAGCGACTGTCCTGTCTCACCACGCTGACACCCGATAAAGCATATTGATCACTCTGAGGGGAAGAAGACACCACTGACTAGCTGTTAATAGGACATTTAAGGCAGCACACACACTGTAAATCATCTGACTCTGTCTTGTAAGTTCTTTTTAGTGTCATTGGCCCTGTGATGCCCCACCCGGTCAAACAACAGGGTGCGCTTGTTTACATGCCCTGTGATATCACTCTAATAACAAGTCAGCACTCAGGTCATGTCAGCAGCGGTCGCCTGGGATTCCTGTCATCAGTGCAGGCTGTGAATGCACCACACCCCTGCTGAGGGGGAGGTGACACCTCAACACACCACCCCAACCCCCCAACTGGGGTGCCAACCACCCGCAGAGACTTGTGCTCACCTTTGAGTCTGTCCTGCTGAGGTGCAGCGGGAATGGAGCTCTGCAGGCACAAAAGAGACAGAAAGCTCTCCTCTATGTGAGATTATTAAAACTACATTCTGAGGGGAAAAGTCTCAATTAAATCAAAGAAGAATATAAATAATGATTTTGACAAAATAATCCACATCCAAGGTCCATTTACTAACTTTTTTCAAGGCTTTCAACTGCTGTCCTCTGTGTCATTTCCATGCTTCATTTATTTAGTTCTGTATGAGTAACACTGAAATTCAGCTGTGACCTGTGTTGAGTTTTAGAAAATTAATCATTAAAGGAAAACAGAAACAGCCATTACCATTGCAGCTCTATAAGCTTGTCTTGTCTCTGGTTATTGGTCTGATGAGTGACTGATATTGTGGGAC